TCTCCGCCGGCAGTCACAGCGCCGGGCGGCTCTAACGCGCCTTATTTAAACGCCTCGCAGGGCGACTGGAGCGGAGACGCCGAAAGATGTCCCGGGACGGCGAGGAAGGAGGTTTAACGGCCTAGAGCTGCGGGAGGAGCCGCCGCCACCGCTTCAGCAGCGCTTTGGCTTTGGGGTACGGCATTTGCGGCGCGGTGTGTGGTGCCTGGGTGTTGTGGTGACTGGGGATGCGCTGTCCAGCGCGGGAGCCTCGGGAGGGTAACTGCGAGTAAGTATCGCTCTTCGCTGGGAGAGGGCTCGTCCAGGCGGAAAGCTTTGATCAGGTGAGAGCAGTTAGGGCACGTACCTTGCAGTCTGGTTCCTCAGGATTTTCCTGATTGCTTGATCTTATAATTATGCTGGTAGCAAGATTCCCTGAGGGTACTACCTTAGAGCTGCGAGGGAGTGAATTACAGGTGAAGCAGCTGCTCCTTTTGGTTCCCCTCTTGTTTCCCTAAGCCTTGAGGCGAGGCTGGCTGACTGACACCTGAAGTAGCTCCTGCGAAGTGCTGCGTACAGCTGTATGTTAAAGGAAGCTGGTATTGATTTGAGGTTACTTTAATGCTTTGGACCGTAAAACTGTATTGGCATGTAAGCTGTTGGGTGCACTTAGCTCAATTCTGTTGGAGGAGAGCCAGCTGAAAATACAGTTGGAGGCAAAAGGCAGTTGTTTCAGCAAGACCTCTCATTGAAATATTTACATAAATTCATAAGCTGTATACAGTTTTGCTTAATGTCTTATTATGTAGCCCTGTGGTGTCTTAATGGCTTTGGTTTTGCAACCATTTTCTCTCTGGTTTGGCATGGTATCTATGAATTGGAAATGGATGTGCTTAGATTTCCAATAAACAATTTCTAACATATGCAGTGCAAGGTCAACTGTGCTGCTTTGTTTTAGTAGGGGAAAGTATATTTTATAAACCTCCTCCTTCAAAAGAACTTATTTTACTCAGTCCAGGTGTGTGTGCACCTGCATTGTAAAGTTCTTAATGGCAATTGGAAGCCAAACATTTCATCTTGTGGAGTGAGGCTTCCTAAATGTCTCCATTAAGGCAAGCTTTGAAAGTGGAAATCACATTTATGTCAAAAGCTTCTAGCTATTTCTGTATGCCGTGCAATCAAGTAGTGAAAACCTTGTTGTAAATCTTTCCTGAAAGCTGCATTTGGTAAAAATCAAAAGCCTATAAAACCGTAGTTGTCACAGTTGGACACTAAAGGACCTTTCTCTTTCGGCACCACAATGGGAGGTTTTTGACAAGCCTTTCAGTTGAGAGAGGTTACTTAGGCTAACTTTACACTTCAGTTAAAGTGGTCTTGCATGTAGCTGTTTTAAGCTAGCATGTGAAAAGCAGAAATGAAGTTGTAGTCAAATGTTTGTATAATCAGTTTAAATGCTCTTAAAAAGGATAGAACATGACAGTTGGATTTAAAACATTCTTTAATGATTATCCTTGTTATATGCATACGAAACACTGTAATTCAGCACAAATTTAGTTTGAAGCCCATTGGGAAAATCAGCTCTAGAATTCTGTTTTCTAGAGTGAATGATGATTGTATCCACCATAAAAGACCCATTGTTTGGATGTTTATTTAGAAATTTCTGGGTTTAGTCAGCTGTGGGTTTTTTCTGTGTGTTTGGGGTTGGTGTTTTTTTTTAGTTAGTTTGGTCTTAAAAACGTGAACATTGTGTTCACAATTCTTTGTGTACAGTTCAGGTACTAAGAATATGCAAAACCTGGTTACCCAAAGAGTAGTTTGAAAGAGAGAAGAAATAAAAAGTTTATTTCTGTCTGGAAGCATTTGGATTTCCAGCTCTATACCTGTTACCATTGTAGAGTTGTGAGATGTTGAACCTGAGCCATCATAATTAATGGCTTTGTGCCATTTCTCCATCTTCCCCTTTTAAATAGTAAGTAATCTCTGCAGCCACTTCTAGGAGTCATCAGATCATGGATGGATTCATGGTCTGTCTTATGAGAAATCTAGGTGCCATTGTATGTGATGTTGAGTGTTGTGTCATCAGCTTCTGGAGTCTTGTTATGAATGAATTTAGAGGTACAGAAATTGAGAGAAGGAAGATTAAAGCAACCTGTGGTGTAGTGTTTGGTTTTGTTTTCTGTGTGTTGAGTGGGTTTTTTTTTTAATCTGGTAGAATTAAGAGTACTTTTATCAGTACAGATATCAAAGCCAAAAGATCATTCAGAAACTGAAGTGTGGGTTTTAATTTGTTTCGGTTATCGTATGTCTGTATGACTTGTAAGTATAGCTACTCAAGCTGCCTTATTTCTTATGCCTTATTAAATATGACTTAATTTTTCAGTCTCTTTTTACTCTGTATGTGCCCATTTAACACCCTTCCCTCCCCCTCTCTTCTTGCTGTTTCTTCTTGAGTGCACAGACTGGACTTTTCAGTGCACAATGGAAGTTTTCTTTATTCTTGTATACTGCTATTATAAACAAAGGCCTGATTAAACCCATGAATTTACCTGTGCAGAGTGTATGCTATTAATGATTGAGCTGGTAAACAATGTACACATTAAATTAAATGGTTCACTGAACTCTTTTGGCTTGATAAGTCAGCTATGTAAAAAGTTGATTTATTGGCAGGAATTTTTTAAACCAAAACAAACCCAGCAGCTTAATGCAACAAAGCAGTTGAAGGTGCAGATACTTCAGTGATCTTTTTCAGTAAAGTAGTTCTCAGAGGAAAGACAAGCAAAGGAACAGCTGAGGGTTTTCTGCACTCTAAATAAACAGCCTTACTGAATTGGTCTGCATGTCTGTGTAGCCTAGCATCTTGTCTTGGGAGCAGATACTAGTTTGTGCATAGGAAAAAGTATAAAACCAGTAGCCTTCATTAGGAAGTTGTTGCTTTTTGATGGAAAAAGTATTCATTTGTAGTGTATTTAATCAAGTTAAAACTCCAAATATCTTTTTGCAGAGAATCAGAATGACTAAAAAAAGGAAACATCAAGAAGATTTCCAGAAAGTGAAATTAAAAGTTGGGAAAAAAAAGCCAAGACTAGAGAATGCAACTGATACTACCTTCAAAACAAAGGCCATACAAATTCCTGAGCAGCTCAAAGAAGATGGAGTGCTTCCTACACAAAATAGAAAACTTAACATAAAGGTACACTGTGACATTCTGTTCTGAGATGATAGAAAATTACTTGTTATTTATCTAGGTTTGCTATGCTTACTAGAGTTGAGAAAAAATATTTATTTAAAGAAAAACCAAAACAACCCAACAGTATCTGAGTACAGCCCCTTTGTCCTTGGCAATAATCTGACCCATGAATTAAATGAGTCAAATTGTTGGACTAGTGTGTAATGCAAAGGAAAGCTTTTCTGCTGTGCAAAAACTGAAGTTGCATGCTGGTTTAACTATCTGAGGTTAACATTCACTTTTTGAAAGTCTTGGATCCTAACTTAAGGACAGGGTTTTAAAAACCAGACTTTCCGAGATTGCTTGTAAAAAATCTTGCATTTCTTTGGGTGGTGGTTGTACTTTCCTTCCTTTGCATTGTCCTCCATCTCTTGCAGCTCTCACTTGAACTGAAAAAAGCTGCTGAGACTGAGATTTCATAGTTCTACTTTTGAGAACAAGTGTGAGAGGACTTTTTTTTGGTCATTCCTCTGTTAAGTTAGTAGGGTTGTGCATAAACTTAAGAATGAGGAGTTTCTAATTACCTGAACGACAAGTCATGGTATCTTGTTTTTCCTGTCATTGAATTTTGATGATTTGTTCATTGTTATGTTTTAATATTATACTTGTTCTGAACATGCTATGCTGTTATGAACAGCAGTACATCAGAATAGATCCTGTATTTTTGAGTGTTTAAGAAAAAAGTGCTGGAAATAGGTGAGGAAATTTAAATTGCTTAAAGCAATAATACATTTCTTTCCTTTTAGGATCTGCTTTCACAGATGCATCACTATAGTCCTGGGGTTAAGCATAATGCACTTACTGGGCTCAAAGATCTCCTGTCTCAGTATCCATTTGTAATTGATGCACACCTTTCAAATATAGTAAGTGAGGTGGCAGCTGTGTTTACAGACAAAGATTCCGGTGTCAGAGGAGCAGCTGTTCACCTGCTGCAATTCTTGGCTTCAAAAATAAGAGCGGAACAGATTGCTCCATTTTTCCCTTTGGTAAGTGCCCATCTCTCCAGTGCCATGACTCATATCAGTGAGGGAATTCAGGAAGATTCATTGAAAGTCTTGGACATTTTACTGGAAGCATACCCAGCCCTTCTCACAGACCGCAGCAGTATATTGTTGAAGAATTTTGTAGAGCTTATTTCTCACCAGCAACTGTCAAAAAGACTGAAAAGCCGAGAGAAACTTTCCTGGATGCTCTCTGTTAACCCCAATCGCAGAGTAACCTCTCAGCAGTGGAGGTTGAATGTACTTAGCAGGCTCAAGAAGTTTCTCCAAGCAGTGGTGGATGGCTCCAGTGAAATAGAGGATGGAGGGCTTCAAGAACAAAAGGACAGCCCTCGTTCTGTGAGGAACCCAGTATGTATAAGTTGGAAGGTTCATGCGAATAATCAGCAGTGCATACAACTGTTTGAAAATGGTGGCTTACGACCAAAGATCAACTCGTCATTTAGACTGAGGTGAGAAAATGTTAACTAATTAGGGAGTTAATGTCAACTCTGCAATCACGGTGTTAAACTGTCTTTTGTTGCTGTTGAAGACAACAATTTAACTTTTATTGTGGGATTGTGCCTTAGCCATAGTTAGGGCATTTAGTGTAATTTGCAGTCTTACTGCAGTGGCTTGAAAATATGGAAATAGTCACCAGATAACTGTGCTATGTGTATATGATGAACTTCCCCATTTTCAAATAAAAGCTTTATTTTATGCTATTCATAATAATTTTGGAAGACCAACTCTAGTGGGTTTTTTTGGAATGCATACTGATGACTACAGGTTGTTGGAGGATATCAAATAGACCTGGGGGCAAGCAGGCAAATTTCTTTAAACATAACCTAGTTTCTTACACTGTGATAATGAATTTTATGGAATTTTATACTTTTACCCCCAGGTGTCTAGCATAAGTTTAGGACTCTATTTTCTTTGAATGTAGCTCCATTTTAAAAGGATGGCATGGTAAGATGTGTCAGGCTGTGTGAAGTTCTCTTGAGTTTGATTCTATATATTTTTATTCAATTCACTAGTATGTATCTTTACTACGGATAAAAGATGTCTGAGACATGTTGATGAATATGGAAGAAAACATAGTGCGCTTAGACACAGAAAAGTTTGTGTGCTTTTTTGTAGTACTCTACATAGACGTGAGCTGAAGTTAAGGGAGAGATAACTAACCATCTTTATTTCTCTTCCTCCTTTCTGATTCACCTACTTCTCAAACTAGAAGGGAATCTCCAACCCCACTTTACAGTACGAACATTGGCATCCTCATGTATACCCGTTTCTGTAGATGTTTTTTACGGGCTGATAGGAGACCTGGAATAACTACTTGAAAACCAGAAACTGTTTAGCCTTTACACAGTACTTCTAATCCATAGATATTTAGGTGGTTTTAAGAGAAACCATGATCCTTGTTTTACTGCTGCGGGGAGACTGAACAAGTTTGGCATAACTGCTTTATACACTTTATCTAGGAGATCAGTGGCAGAAAAGGGTATAAACCCCAGTGCCTAGTCCACTGCTATGTCCAGCTCCTATCTTTGAATGGGTGAAGTGCAGAAGAAGAGGTCTTCTCTTTTAATACCACAGGTGTTGGCTTGAATTAATAGGTGGTTTCTATCTCTGTCATGGAGACACACAAATGAGACAATTCCATTCCTACTTTACAAGGCTTTCTCTCAGTAGATAGCATATTACTGATGGTAAGTATAGGAAATTTACATTAAGCTAAGTGAAATGTTCAGTTTATTGTCATAGAAGTGGTTGTTAATATAGCATAAGAGTTCAGTCATGACCAATAGTATCTGCTGCAGGTAAAACTCTAGTTGGAAAGTAAGACCTGTGAAGCCCATTTGAGGCAGGGGGAAAGGTTCAGTTCTGAGCACAAAATAGTCCTATGGACTTCATCTCTGCAGTCAGAAGCATACAATTGTGTACCACCATATATCAGAGGACTCTTGTATTGTGCCCTGAATGATATGCAGTGTGTGATATACCATGCCCTGTAATAGCTGAAGATGCATTGTATCCAAGGTCTAGGAAACTAAACTTTACATCTGGTGTCACCGGAATTGGATTCTGTGTTTCTGAGGAGCTAGATTTTCGTGAAACATTGTGATCCGCTTGTGGTTATAAACACTTAAAAAAAGGCATTTGCAAGCATGAGGAGGACCCAGAAGATTAGAAGGAAACATTGGTAGAATCCATGGCAAGACTGGCAAAGCAAACTGATGGAAGGAGAACAGAAGAATGGAAAGAGAATGGGCATCTGCAGAAGGTACTAACATGTTTTCATTTTATTGTATTTGCACATATTTTTGATGTATTCATTTTGCACAAAGGGCCAGTACAGCTTTTTTTAGTGGATGTCTGCAAAATTCTAAGAGTGGACGTTATTGTGGTGGTTTTTTGTATCTACCACTGACATCTTTTCTGATGATCTGGAGATACTTAATTCTGCCTGTGTCAGTCCTGACTGTGGCCTTTTACAGGCATTCCCAGGCCTCTGCTGTGGCCTCTACTGCAAGGACAGAAATTATTTCTAATAAGAGGTGCAAAGCATCTGCAATGCTTCTTCATTGATCTGCAGTACTTCCAAAATCTCAGTGTGTGTGGTTTTGTTTAAAGAAGTCAATGGACAAATAGTCAAGTCCTAACTACAGACAATGAGTTGACCAGACTGTAAGTGATTAATTGCGGTGTGTATTGTTGGCCTCATCACTAATACTGAAAGTAGGTTTCAACTTTGTTCTTCAAAAAGTAGGCTTCCACACACCACTAATAATATTCAAAATTTTTAAAGTTTTTATATCCTTTTAATCTGGCAAATTCGTTGAGATGGGATGGCACCTCATTGATAACCTAGCAGTTATGGAAAGGGGTTTTCAGAATCACTTTGTGGTATTTATGTTTAGTAAAAAGTAAAGCTTCTGAGCCTGGAATGCTGGATGACTCAGCAGTGCAAATATTAAGACTTGATTATTTTCTGTTGTGTGCTAGGTCTTCCTACTGTGTGTGAATTAAAGATTACAGTGAATTAGGAGATTACTAGAATATATCCTCTGCCTTATGTGCTGACTGTGCTGTTTTTTTCATCAGACTCATTTCAGGTGTGGAAAAATGGAAACCTTCACAGCTTACATGTGGTGATACCAAGGTGTGTGATCTTTTCTTGGACTGGAAGCAGTGGTGCTGAAGAGAAACAGTAGAGCTTCTGTTCCCGCTGAGAAAGGACAAAATGAAGCTGCAGAGAAAAGTGAAGATGACTTGAGACACCAAGGTGGAAGACAAAGCACAGTGAATAAATATGTATATGGGGTGACCCATGCATCAGATAGAAATGGCGAATACGGTTCACTTAGCGTACCGAGTGTTTCTTTGCTGCAGTTGTCAGTGCACACAAAAAAGAACAGTAACCTGGCTTAGACTCTGAGCCATAAAAACTTAATAATTTCCAATGACTTTTCCTATTTTAAGCAGCAGAAAGTTTCTTCCTTATTTTCTGTTTCTTTTACACTTCTTTGGCTTCCTTTTGCTGAATTCCTGTTGTCCTCTTTCTGTCAAATGGCAAATATGTTACACAGGTGTGTTTTGGTTTTGTTTTTTGCTTGGTCCTGCTTTATAAAAATATTGGTGTTTTAAAGAGAAATGACAGCTTAAGAGGTACACACGTATCTTGCAGCTCCCCTCATCAGTATTTCATACCAATATGAAGATAATATGCTTTGTAGTGTTTCTGAGAGCTGCCTTACCATTAATGAATAACAGATGTTGGACAAAAAGATTAACGCTTTATTTGACATCAGACCCTCCCAGTTCCAGTGAATCTGTATTGCTAAGGATATTGCACTGATCAAATGCATACTGGACAGATTACAGTAATACTTTGTTACTGTCAAACAGATTTTATTTATCCCAGTGGTGGTTAACTTTGAATATTTGAAGGAGCCTTACCTTGAGAGGTTGGGGCTTCTTTTGCAGGGGTACCTGAAAGCTATGCTAAGTATTCTTCCCCAGATTTTGGCAGGTAGGTGGAGTATTTTGGCATGTATTCTTCCTTCTTTTTCCATCCTTTGCATCAGAAAAGTACCGAAACAGTTCTCTGTTACAAAGAGCTCTGCGTGTGTGTGTTATACTTTTCTAAGAATCTTCAGGTATGTGTTGCCAGCTTCTCAGGTTTCATGCACTGTTCACTCTTAATGGAGGAGATTCTTGGTTTTGTGTTCCAGAAACAAATTGCTGGAATTCCATAGCTCTGCTGTAACATCAGTGTTATTTTCAGAGAAACGATTAAAGACTTTACTACTTCAGAACCGTTTCAGTAGTAGTTCCAACTACTGACATATCAGAATCTCAGCCGAGTGTGTAGTCCTGTCATGGCATAGCACTTACAGGGCAGCCTTAACAGTGAGGTCTTGGTATCAACTATGTTGTCCAGCAATGCTTTAGAATTCACTGTGGTTGTAACTGGAAGATGGGATTTGTCTACTGTGTCTTTAGATGACTAGGTTCAGTGTACCAAGTTTATGTATATTAGGAAGTTAGAATTCTGATGGGAATTCAGTGCTGTGAGTTAGAAAAAAAAAATAACCATGGAAAATGATATCAAAAATCATCATGGAAAATTATGTCAGAAATCATGAGTTGAAATTATTGTTGCCTTTTTTCTGTTTTTTAACACCTCTGTATTGTTTAAAATTAAAAATAGTTATTCAGAGTTTTTGCTTTTGTTTTCTTTGAAGAACCTTCATTTTAAAATGGATGCAAATTGCCTGATTTATCCAGGAGTAGGATTTGGTGATTTGTTCTGATAATCCCTTTTGAAACACAAATGAAGCGTTGGGGGGAAGTCCTTGTTTTTCTTGCTTTCTGGGAGATGTGATTTTAATTTAAACTATATCTCCTCATGTTTTGATAATTTTTGTGTAACTTCATGTCAGAAAATTTTAATACTTTTCCAGCTAGTTTCTCTCCAGAGCATTATAATTAAACATATAAACCAAGTTATATTTTTGCAGGATGATATTTTTTCCCTATTAATATGAAACCCAGTATGTTTATTATGGCTGGAGGTGGTTATTAACTGGAATGAACCTCATGCATTTCACAATACTTTGTAGTCACTTTTCATTATTTTGCTTCAAGGAGCTTAAAACTTAAAAGATTTTTCATTTTGTTGTGCTGAGTACAGTGGATTTGATCTGTTGGCGGAAGGTGATGCGATAATACAAATCATGTTTCTCCGCTTTATAGGCTTCACATGTAACAGTGGGGAAAGAAATACTGAAATCTAAGGAGTTATTACAGAAGTACACAAACTTTCAGGGAGACTTGGGAGCAGGTTTGCGTAGGTGGTTTGAACTCCCTTTTGTCCTGACTGAAATACCTAGCAGAAAGCAAGCGGACATTTAATATATTAAAAGCAGTGATTTTTGCTGTTATTTAGAAAGCAGGAAAGTGCTATACCTCTAATCTGTTCTTTAAAGGTGTGATCTTCATCTTTTTTTCTTTTTTTTTTCTTTTTTTCTTTTTGCTTTTGTTATTTAGGTCTCTGACAGGTGTAATGGACAGTGCAGAAAAAGGCCTGTCCTCGGCTGAAAACCTAAAAGGTTTTATTGAGATAATAATTCCGTTATTGATTGAGTGCTGGATTGAAGCATCTCCTGCACAATCAGCTCCTATTCTTGGAAACCTCTTGGAATCAGACTCTCAGCAGCTTATGCAGCAAGTGCTTAGTATAATACATTTATTGTGGAAACTCACAAAGCGGCATGATGAAACATACAAAATGGTAAGGGAGAAGTGATCTGTGGCATAATGATGACAGTTCATTTTGTTTTGATTGGAATCTAATGATTTGGTGATTGGAAAGAGAGGAAA